AGCATGGTCTTACACTCTGGCTTCGAGACACCCTGCAAGAGGACAGTGCCTTCAAGGGAACAGGCACGTCAGAGGCCTCCAGCCTGCCTGTCACTGTGGGTTATCTAAAGTTGTCAGGTTCTCTCAGGTGCAGGGGACTCAGAAGGCTGTCTGGGTGTCCCCAGCACATGTGGACTCTGTTCCTTCTTTGTAAGCAGATAACATAATTGACCACCCCAAGAAACAGAGCAGGCTTCAGCTCTCCATAACGCCACCCTGAGAGGAGGTGTGCTGGAGACAGGTCCTTTCTATAGGGAAGAGGCAGGAGCTCATGACATCAGTGCAGTCCCCATAGATTCACAGTGAGTTGACCTCTTCCTCCTCCTGGGGAGCCACAGATCAGCTGGTACCTAGCAGAGGGTGATGTGGTTGTGGGTGTGTGATGGGGTCTTGTGCCATCAGTGAGGGCAGAAGCCGGTTGCAATGAGATAGGGGATTTGTTTTTCAGTGCTTGGAGTTTGAGGTGCGGACAGAAGGAATGGGCAGGCTCTGAGGGGAGGGGATCTGGAGAGGAGTCATTGAGAGATGATAATGTTAAACAAACAGCAGAGGGCCTAAGTGTAGATCTGTACCTCAGGTCTTTTAAAACTGAGTCCAGTCCTGACCAATTCATCACCCAGCTGTCCTGCCTCTGAAGGGAGCTTTCAAGTTGGGGACAGTGGCTCACTGGATGATGTCACTAACAGATGCATATGTTCAAGGTGGGGCAGGGGGCTCACTTGATGATGTCACTGACAGATGCATCTTGTGAGAATAAAATGTCCTAAGATTCCTTTCTTGTTCCTGTTCAGAAAGACCCTCCAGATCTTCTACATCAGCTCTCACCCTGCTGTGGGCAGCCAGAAGCTGTGCTGCGTGGTCTTTCCTGTGTGTCCTTGTAGCAAGTGAGACCTCAGAATATTTTAAATCATCATGATGGACTTCCCTAATGATCAATCCCTATATTTTCCTTATTCTGGGTCCCAATCCTCCTTTTCTTTACAGAGCTCATTGTTATTGGGTCACCCAGACACCCAGGCATGAGGTGACACAGCCCATACCAGGCCACAGTACCTTTTCTGATATAAACATCTATTAACATCGTGTGGTACAGGGTCTGTTGTTGCTAACTGATGTCTGTAGCTGATCTCTTATTGGTGATGGAGGAATACCCAAGGATTGCTTCTCAGCTGCCATGCCTAAGGCCTCCTTCTCTACCTTGAAGATCCATCCCACAGAGCCCAGGGACACAGCTGTGTATCTCTGTGCCAGCAGCTTAGCCTCAACCCTGCAGAATCCCCTGTGCAGGTGCAGAAACCCTAGTGCTTCCTCTTGGCCCTCCAGCCCTGTCAGTCCTAAGTGAAGTCTCCCTGATCCTCCCTCACTGCAGAATTAAATCAGCTTGGGGTATCACAAAGACTGAAAATGATAAAGTATCAAGGCAGGAAATCTGGAGCAGGAAATAAATTTGGGACTGGTTGAAAGGATTCCTTACAAATTATCTGTGGGCTCAGAGCTCATTATCAGAGAAACTTTAAGTACTCACAGGGTGGACCAACTCATTCCTGCATTTGAATCCTGTGGGACTGTGGGAGGCGCTAGAAAGGGCTGAGCCTGCTACCTTTCTCCTCCTCTTCATTCCTTCACATCCCAAGTGTAACAGGTCTCCTCTCCCCTGAGTCAAATGACTTTAAAAGAAGGTTCTTTACTGTGATTTTGAACATTACTTTCTTATTTTAAATTTTGAATTAACATTTCCTTGGGGATATTTCAAGAAACTTAGAGAGTATCTCCAATCCAGGTAAAGCAGGCATTTTAACATTTGATCTGGGAGATGCCACCCCTGTGTCTGAGGGTCTCTTTGTCCTGCATGAGCAGAGCCAATGCCAGCTGAAGGGTCCCTTGCACATAGAATGCTGAGGAACATTCTCTGATGGGAACAGCCTACTCTGGAACAATCCAAGTGGAGCCACACTGGTAATTCCCAGATCACACACACACCTGTCCAGTCTCACTGTGCCCTTTTCCTACAGTGCTTGTTTATGAAGACCCAGACCTCGATAATTTCACATCTCAGATAATAACACCGAGTTCAAGCCTACAGAATATATTAGGAAGCTAATGATGTGGATCAGAAAGAAAACATAAAATCAAAGAAGCTGCTCAATGCCTCTGAAGATTGCTAACACTATTTGTCTGAGCAGGAAAAAAAAAAGAAGAAATTTTAAAAACATTTTAAAAATTAAGAAATTCAGCTCAATCTTTTTTATAGTAGAGGGAGAGCTGATTAAAGTGTATCATTCTAGTAGAAATTTTAAAAAGAACTGCAATGCAAACAAACACTGTTCAATGCCTGGAAAAATGAGATTGAGAAGAGATAGAGTCGAGGATTAGATTGGCCTCCCTTTGCTCTTTGAAAGGAATTTTTGGGAGAAGGGGTACATAGTCCAATTCCAGGCAGCTCTGGTGTTGGCTTTTGATCATTGGTGATTCAGTAGGCGTCCTTTAAGCTTCTCAAAGGATCTTTGTTTCATCAAAATGAGAAATATAGCAAGGCAGATTAGGGAAGAAAAGGTGACTAGAAAATTAATTCTGAGCCTTTCAACCAGATGGCCTTGGAGTTACTGAATTGCCACACTGTCATGATCCATTTCACCTGTTCTGCGGCCAGAGCTGTATTCAGGGGAGCAGCAGTTGATTCTGAAGGAGACTCCTCCAGGAGGTGGTAGCAGCGTCTTCCTCACAGCCTGCCCCTCTCCTGGCCCACCCTGTAATGGCTGAGTCCAAGGTGTGAGGGCCATGCACGCCTTGAGCATCTCAGGGGAAATGATAATTTCCTGGAGAGCTGCCCTGGATGGGAGGGGTGGGATCCTCTGGAGCAGTGTTTCTTCCCCTCCCTCCTCTCTCTAGTGGGAAAACCCAGTGATCTGATTGGGATGTTGAAGGAAGGAACTGGGCATGCTCAGCTCAGGCCCTGTTTTACCACCTGTGAGGAAGATGCTTTCCAGTCTCCTGCACAGAATGACAGCACAACTAGCAGCAGACTCTTCACTCAGGAGGAGAGTTGGCCACTCTAGGACAGGAGGATCAAGGGTTGGCACGCTCAATTCAGAGGGACACTGGCCAGCCACAGCTGCATAGGTGAGCCCCTCCCATCCCAGCACCAAGGCAGATGTTTGGACTTCATTTTCTCTGAGCTCAGCATTCCTCTCTCAAGTGTTTTTGATTTTGGACAAGAAAGAATGGCGGTGCTCTTGTGCCCTAAAACACCAGCGACTCTACCACCATTACCCCTGAACCAGGGGAACACAGCATCATTCATCCATGGTCTTAGCCAAGGGCTACTCCAGGAAGCCTGCCCGTTGGCCACTACGGGACACTGTGGTTCTTCCATCACTCAGTGACTTCAGAGAAGCTGAGAAGTGTCTGGCAGGGGGAGTTAATGGAAGGCTCAGGCCTGGTTTCTGCACCATAAACCATATTTGTGGCTGCCAGGCAAACACTGGAAAAAGAAAGGTGGGACACAAAGCCTTCTATTCTTGTGCAAATTAATTAAAACTAATAGTGAACATGGGATTTTTAGGCAATTTGGAATGGTTGTCAGACAAAGCAGCCAGTAGTACTGCAGCAGCACAATAAAGTAAGATTAACAGAGGTCTTTCTTTGGTGGAGATGCACACATATGGAAAAGGGGAGGAGCAATGATTCCCATCTCTCCTGACCTCCTGCCGCAGTCTCATGAACCCACAGAGGTGTTTGCTGAGGGGCAGAGCTATAGTAGACAAGGACCCTGTCCTGAACCCCTCCACATAGCCATGGAGACAGGAGGGCAGCACACATCTCTGTGACACTGTAACCACAAAAGTCTCCTCCTGCTGTAGGAGTGCCCTGATGACAAGGAGGATCTTGTTCTGTAATTGAAGGGGGACCACTGAGGCAGCTGTGAGCTGGTGACTGAATGAGGTGTGGAAAGGCACCTCCGTGGCCCTCTGTGCATGCTTCACAGGCCACCTCCAGGCTTGCATAGGACACCAGGGAAAAGGAGCTGGTGGGACAGCTGTGTGCCCCAGTGTAGGAAAAGCAGCCCGCAGAGGGTTCTCATCAGAGCTGATGGAAAGGGCTTTCCTGTAACACAGGCAGGGTCCGTCCTGCTGTGATGCTCTGAGATTTCAAGTCAGGGCCCAGAGATAGGCAGTGCAGTTGTTCTGAGTCAGAGGGGCCCTCAACTTCAGAAACCTACAAGTCTACTGAATCACCAGAAAAAACAATTTCAGGGCCCAGGTTGGCCACAGTCTGCTTTTCCCTAATAAGGATCAAAGTACCAAGGAAAGAAATGCCCCAGTCATGGGGGCTGAACTTATTTGCTCACTGTTCTTTTTTCGTGCTCCTCATACCCTAGACATCAGCCCTGGGTGCAGGTAGAGTTTACCCATCCTGGAATACTGGGTCCTGATGCTAAGTGATGTCTATGTGTTAGGGGTACCATCTTCTCCCCAAGCCCTGGATCCAGAAGAAGTACCTTCTGCCTTCTTCATGCCAGGGTCCCTGGATGCTGCAGAGCCTCAAGACACCTGGTCAGGGAGACAGACAAGAGAGAACAGAATGTATACATGTGCAGGTGCATGCGAGCACGCATACATATACACACTCACACACACATTGGCACAAATATCCTCTAGGCCAAGAAGACGTGAACACAGCTGATTCTCCACATCACGACAGTTTCACTGTCTGACTCCTAAGAGAGTTGATCACATGTCTTCTCTTTTGCAGGACATATGGCCCAGTTTGGGGCATAGGGTGGCTGTATCTCTGTGCCAACATCAAAGACACAGGCCTAGTATGCTCTGTCACCTCTATGAACAGAGACTGTATAATCCATAATGTAAGCACCTGGCCATCTCTCATATTTCCTTCTCCCCACCTGAAAGAGTTAATCTTGGGTATCTCACTGTTTAATGTCAGATGTTAATCATTGAAAACCTTTGCTAGTTGTAAGAAGATTACTTGCAACTGCAGAGTGCTTTATTGAAGTGCTTTAGGAAAAGTTAAAAGCCCAATTATTCTGTTCAATTTACAATAGGGCCTAAAGTATTAACAGTATTTATAGTCTGCCCTGTGCTCTGGGCTGGGGTAGGCCCTGCAGCGCACGAGTACCAGTCTTTAGCCTTTACCAAGAATAAAACCTGCATAGTCCCAGCTCCCAGGGTATCTGCTCTGTCTTCTTCATGATGACTAAAGCCAAAGGCTTAAGGGGGAGCCTTGGGAAGTTCTTACTCAAAAAATGCATTGGAATTTCATGAGCATGCTATGCTTAATCACTGTGGCACATGGCAAGCCATTTTTTTAATTATGATTATTATTTCATTTAGACACAGGGTCTCCCTAAATTGCATAGGGTCTCACAAGTGTGCTAAGGCTGGCTATGAACTCTCAATTCTCCTGACTCAACCTCTAAAGCAAGAAGGATTGCAAGGTTACACCACCATTCCTGGCTATATTTAAATTTTTGACAATAATAAAAGCATTAAAATTGTGCATACAGACTGGATGATCTATTCTCATTGATGTGTGCCTGTGCTTCAATTCTTATGCACAAAGAAATTGAGAGGTAGTAAAAAAAAAAAAGCCCATTTATGAATGTTCTTGCAGGAGTATCAAACTGTGAAGGGGAACTCCCATAGTCAATTCCTTTTGTCTGTTTTCTTGTTTTTTTGATCACATGATCATGTTTCCTCCAACACTAGGTAATTTATTGGAATGCAATATATTGCATTTGAAAAACTGTATATGCAGTGAGACTCCAAATTATTTCATCTTCAGAAAAGACATATTTTTTGCTTTTGTTCAGAAATTGTAGCAAGGACATGTAGGGGGCACAGGTCACCTTAATTTAGTTCATGTTTGAAATGGATTGAAGCTGGTTTCTGCCTTTGTGGTGACTTTCCATTCTTGCTCCAAGGGTGTACCTATTTAAGTTCCAAACATAATGTCTGGGAGATTTTTAACAGCTTCACTGCAGTGAAACTCACAAAACTTAATATTGACCCATTTCAAGTTTGCAACTGAATATGTTTTAATACATTTGGGGAGTTGTAAACTATCACCAGGACCCAGTTTGAAACCATTTTTAACCCCACACCTTCAAATTATATTTGTGCTCCTTTTAGGTGAACTGCTGCTCCTGAACCCAGGCCAAGACCTGGGATCTTTACCAGGGTGTTCTCCTGCAGTCACTGAACATAACGGTTATGCTATGAACCAGAAAGTTGATGGACACTCCTCTCAGCCTCACATGCCCTCAGTATCCTCCTGCATCAGCTGTTTCACTGAGGATATTAAACTGGAAAATGGCTTAAAAGGAAAAAATGGTTCATCAAATTCATCTTTTCTTCTTGAAACAATAGTCTATGGCATTCTTAGCACGTCCATTAGCACTAAATGCTGTCCAATGTGAACCTTTTATATTTCAAATGTAAAATATCATATTTTCTAGATGACTAGGAGTATTTTTCTGAAACAATCGAATGTACTACCACTAAAACCCAGTTTTATGTGCTTTAAAGTTGGGGTGCATTTAGTCTGTTTGTATTTGGGGTGGAAGTAGCCTGAAGAGAGGAAGGAGGGAGGGAGCCTATAACTTGTTCTAGAAACCTCATTTTTAATAATATCATCACTTCATTTATTATCCCCAAACGTTGGTGTTACCCATATCTTACTAGATATCTTACTAGAAAATAGCTCCTAGAAAACAGGCCTCTCTAGGTTCTTTAAAAACGTGGGGCTCGTTAATTTCTGTCATTTTAAGCCTTCACTCTGTCAATGTTTATCAAAGGGTTCAGCCAATATTTGGGATGGAACACTACCATTTTGAATGAGCGTTTCCTCAACAGTATTTGAATTTTGAAAACTATCTTGTAAGAATGGCAGCCATTATGAAGTCAAACAACAACAAGTGCTGGCGAGGATTCGGGGAAATAGGCACACTCATACATTGCTGGTAGGACTGCAAATTGTTGCAGCCAATTTGGAAAGCAGTATG